GTTAAGTGTTCTTTCCGAAACCCATGTATCTTTCATTTATGGCCATTAATGTCATTATATAGGGTGACCCGGTTAGAGCACGTGGTAGCCTCAAACTAAAGGTAATTAAGCCAGGTCTTTAAGGTTCCATGTACAGTGTTTTCTCTGATATAGCTTGTCATATATAGGTATCTGGCTTTACAGCTAGCGCCCTTTTGACAGGTCAAGACGAGGAAGCATGCTTTGTGCATCAGTTACCAGGGTGATGGAAGCTACCTCAAAGAGGGAAAATGTGGTCTCTACATCCTGGTTATACCTGCTGTACAAATAAGATAAGGAACCTCTTCAATGTATGTAGTCTAATTCTGTAGTTTGATTGGCTGCATATATATAAATTTAATTAATATAAACCCCCCTAATGTGTAGAGGATCGATTTGTGAGATTGAGATTATTGCAGAAATACAGTCCACTTAACATCATACAAATTGCTATCGAAGTATATAAATTAACGTAAATATAAATTCATATAAATTAAATAAATATAAATCTCACAGGTCGGTTCCCACATACCTGGCTCTAGGATGAGGGGTAAGGGGCTCTACCTGGCTCTAGGATGAGGGGTAAGGGGCTCTACCTGGCTCTAGGATGAGGGGTAAGGGGCTCTACCTGGCTCTAGGATGAGGGGTAAGGGGCTCTACCTGGCTCTAGGATGAGGGGTAAGGGGCTCTACCTGGCTCTAGGATGAGGGGTAAGGGGCTCTACCTGGCTCTAGGATGGAGGATATGGGGCTCTACCTGGCTCTAGGATGAGGGGTATGGGGCTCTACCTGGCTCTAGGATGGGGGTATGGGGCTCTACCTGGCTCTAGGATGGGGGGTATGGGGCTCTACCTGGCTCTAGGATGAGGGATAGGGGGCTTCAGAAGTCTTGCTCCTGGTTGCTACAATGGACAAAATAATATATATATACGCTGGAACCCACTTAACCTAACCCACACTACCCACCTAACCCACTTAACCTAACCCACACTACCCACCTAACCCACTTAACCTAACCCACACTACCCACCTAACCCACTTAACCTAACCCACACTACCCACCTAACCCACTTAACCTAACCCACACTACCCACCTTACCCACTTAACCTAACCCACACTACCCACCTTACCCACTTAACCTAACCCACACTACCCACCTTACCCACTTAACCTAACCCACACTACCCACCTTACCCACTTAACCTAACCCACACTACCCACCTTACCCACTTAACCTAACCCACACTACCCACCTAACCCACTTAACCTAACCCACACTACCCACCTTACCCACTCAACCTAACCCACACTACCCACCTAACCCACTTAACCTAACCCACACTACCCACCTAACCCACACTACCCACCTAACCCACTTACCCTAACCCACACTACCCACCTAACCCACTTAACCTAACCCACACTACCCACCTTACCCACTCAACCTAACCCACACTACCCACCTAACCCACTTAACCTAACCCACACTACCCACCTAACCCACTTAACCTAACCCACACTACCCACCTAACCCACTTAACCTAACCCACACTACCCACCTAACCCACTTAACCTAACCCACACTACCCACCTAACCCACTTAACCTAACCCACACTACCCACCTAACCCACTTAACCTAACCCACACTACCCACCTTACCCACTCAACCTAACCCACACTACCCACCTAACCCACTTAACCTAACCCACACTACCCACCTAACCCACTTACCCTAACCCACACTACCCACCTAACCCACTTAACCTAACCCACACTACCCACCTTACCCACTCAACCTAACCCACACTACCCACCTAACCCACTTAACCTAACCCACACTACCCACCTAACCCACTTACCCTAACCCACACTACCCACCTAACCCACTTACCCTAACCCACACTACCCACCTAAGCTAACCGCCCGTGACGTCGTGAAGGTGGTTGTCTGGGAGCCCCAACCTTTCATAATACTCCTTATGTTGTCCGTTGGGGAGTGTGGAGTCAAATTACAGGGTGTGTTATTTGAGAGGCCAGGTTGCATGTGCAGTGTTGCAGGGGGGGCTGAGGACGTGAAGGGAGTAGGTCCAGACTCAGGAGTAAGGTCAGGGGACCATCTTGGTCCCCTGACCTGAGGGGGACCTCACTACACCTGACCACCCCTGAGGCTGATGGTCTCACTCGCCCGCGTCAGAGGCCTGGAGATAATTAGTTGGTCTAATTACCTCCCCAAACCCCAGGTCATGTTGGTCGTGTGTCTCAACACCCGTCCAATTGATACCTGGTTGATGGGGTTCTGGGAGTTGTTCTACTCCCCAAGCCCGGCCCGAGGCCAGGCTTGACTTGTGAGAGTTTGGTCCACCAGGCTGTTGCTTGGAGCGGCCCGCAGGCCCACATACCCACCACAGCCCGGTTGGTCCGGCACTCCTTGGAATAAACTATTTAATTTTCTCTTGAAGATGTCCACGGTTGTTCCGGCAATATTTCTTATGCTTGCTGGGAGGACGTTGAACAACCGCGGACCTCTGATGTTTATACAGTGTTCTCTGATTGTGCCTATGGCACCTCTGTTCTTCACTGGTTCTATTCTGTATTTTCTTCCATATCGTTCACTCCAGTACGTTGTTATTTTACTGTGTAGATTTGGAACCTGTCCCTTCAGTATTTTCCAGGTGTATATTATTTGGTATCTCTCTCGTCTTCTGTCTAGTGAGTACATTTGGAAAGCTTTGAGACGATCCCAATAATTTAGGTGCTTTATCGCGTCTATGTATGCCGTATATGTTCTCTGTATTCCTTCTATTTCAGCAATCTCTCCTGCTCTGAAGGGTGAAGTGAGTACTGAGCAGTACTCAAGACGGGACAGCACAAGTGATTTGTATAGTACAACCATTGTGATGGGATCCCTGGATTTGAAAGTTCTCGTAATCCATCCGATCATTTTTCTGGCTGTCGCAATATTTGCTTGGTTATGCTCCTTAAACGTTAGGTCGTCCGACATTATTATTCCCAAATCCTTTACATGCTGTTTTCCTACTATGGGTACATTTGATTGTGTTTTGTACTCTGTATTATGTTTAAGGTTCTCATTTTTGCCGTACCTGAGTACCAGGAATTTATCACTGTTAAATATCATGCTATTTTCTGATGCCCAGTCGAAAACTTTATTAATATCTGCTTCTAGTTTTTCAATGTCTTCAGCCGAGGTAATTTTCATGCTGATTCTTATGTCATCTGCAAGAGATGATACGAAGCTGTGACTTGTATTTGAGTCTATATCTGATATGAGAATAAAGAAAAGCAGCGGTGCAAGGACTGTACCCTGAGACACAGAGCTTTTAACTGTGCTTGGACTCGATTTTATATGGTTAAGTGTTACTCTTTGTGTTGTGTTGGTGAGTGTTGGTCTCTACCGTCCACCTGCAGGGGTCATGTTTCTCCCCTCGACGAGGTCAGCCTAGTTACAGGTCAAGGTCGGAGATACGACCTGTACCAGCCCTCTGCTTGATCCCTATTCCGTGTCACTCCTGCTTCTGCCCTTCTTTATCATTACTTTATGCTCCATACTTGCTTTATCCTTGCCTTCCTCCATCCTTCCTCGCTTGCTGCTTCTTCCCCCCCTCCTTCTCTTCTCTCCTCATCATCAGCACCATCTTTTATGTCCATTTACTACGTATTGTCCTTGCTCTCTCCCTGCTGTGCCTCTTCCCTGTTTCTTCCCTCCTCGCTCCTGTGCCCAGCGCCTCCCTGCCCTGGGCAAGGTCACACAGGGGGGCCTCCCAGAGCAGGCAGTCATGGTGCCATGTGGCAGTGAGTGTCCCCCATGTGTGTGGTGGCAGCCCATGACCACAACAAGACGTGTGGCGTGGACCTGGGGAAGGCTTAACAAAAGGAAAACCTCCAAATCTCACTCTTAGAGTGAGAGTTGTTTGTTGACGAACTCGCCAGCTGCTGCTCCTACAGGATGGCGCCACACTGGACCACCTGCCCAAGCTGATGAAGCTTCAAGGCTCACCTTAATTGATAATGAGAACACAGGGAGAAGATGGAGTCGTTAGAGGCGGAGTAGTCGGGAAGGTGAAGCCGTCTCCACATTATCGAGGTCACCTTCACTAGTCGACCTGGTAATGAAAGTGTGCCGGGGGGCGGGGGGGAGGGGGACTTGATCTGGCAGTGACACCATTCCCCCTCTCACTACACGGTCACCATTCATTAACCATTTATACAATCACTTACGGAGCCTATACATGTGTGTGTGTTTACATGTATTAAACAGTATACATGCTCCGGAACTACAACCTGAAGTTATAAACAACCACGCAGTGCTTCGGTGCTGATAAACTGTCCAATAAATATTATTACGAAGCAATAAGATGCTTATCTTAACATACTAAGTAGGTTAGGTAAGGTCGGTGTTTTCTATGAAGCTTTTCAAGGGAAACTATTATGTTAAGTATGTCACCTATGCACATATTTAATAAGTCAATATTGACTTATTAAATTTGCGAGAACGGGTTGCAATATAAAGAAAGTCGCCATGATGGAGGAAAGATGTAGCGCCTTCGTAGGGAGGGTGGGTAAATACTGGATGACTCTCGGCACCACCACCACCAGGTCTCCAGCTCCCCTGCCCCGCCTCTCACCTCCCCCTCCAGCCTCTAGCCCGGCCTATCACGTGACCTCAAGAGCGCTGGCAACTCTCTCTTAGTCTTCTCCTCTAGTGGGTTCCTGCGCCAGCTTTTTCTTCCCAACAATGATCAGGTTCATGATCTTAATGTATTCACGGTCCACGTCTTTTATTGCCGGACGTTTCTTAACGCCTTTTTCTCTTTTGTTTGTCCCCGTAAAAAAGACATTCCTGAGGGTCTAAGTTAAAATAATTAAGGGCTTCTGGACGAAGTCGGTCGAGGCTAAGGTGAAGGTCGAGGCCAGGGTGATGGTCGAGGCCAGGGTGAAGGTCGAGGCCAGGGTGATGGTCGAGGCTAGGGTGATGGTCGAGGCCAGGGTGATGGTCGAGGGCAGGGTAAGGTCAAGGCCAGGGTGAAGGTCGAGGCTAGGGTGAAGGTCGAGGCCAGGGTGAAGGTCAAGGCCAGGGTGAAGGTCGAGGCTAGGGTGATGGTCGAGGCTAGGGTGATGGTCGAGGCCAGGGTGATGGTCGAGGGCAGGGTGAAGGTCGAGGCTAGGGTGAAGGTCGAGGCCAGGATGATGGTCGAGGGCAGGGTGATGGTCGAGGCCAGGGTGATGGTCGAGGGCAGGGTGATGGTCGAGGCCAGGGTGAAGGTCGAGGCCAGGGTGAAGGTCGAGGCCAGGGTGAAGGTCGAGGCCAGGGTGAAGGTCAAGGCCAGGGTGAAGGTCGAGGCTAGGGTGAAGGTCGAGGCCAGGGTGATGGTCGAGGGCAGGGTGAAGGTCAAGGCCAGGGTGAAGGTCGAGGCTAGGGTGAAGGTCGAGGCCAGGGTGATGGTCGAGGGCAGGGTGAAGGTCAAGGCCAGGGTGAAGGTCGAGGCTAGGGTAAAGGTCGAGGGCAGGGTGAAGGTCGAGGCCAGGGTGATGGTCGAGGCCAGGGTGATGGTCGAGGACAGGGTGAAGGTCGAGGCTAGGGTGAAGGTCGAGGCTAGGGTGAAGGTCGAGGCCAGGGTGAAGGTCGAGGCCAGGGTAATGGTCGAGGCCAGGGTAATGGTCGAGGCCAGGGTGATGGTCGAGGCTAGGATAAAGTTCGAGGCTAGGGTGAAGGTCGAGGCCAGGGTGAAGGTCGAGGCCAGGGTGAAGGTCGAGGCCAGGGTGAAGGTCGAGGCCAGGGTGATGGTCAAGGCTAGGGTGAAGGTCGAGGCCAGGGTGAAGGTCGAGGCCAGGGTGAAGGTCAAGGCCAGGGTGATGATCGAGGCCAGGGTGATGGTCGAGGCCAGGGTGAAGGTCGAGGCCAGGGTGATGGTCGAGGCTAGGGTGAAGGTCGAGGCTAGGGTGATGGTCGAGGCCAGGGTGATGGTCGAGGCCAGGGTGAAGGTCGAGGCTAGGGTGAAGGTCGAGGCCAGGGTGATGGTCGAGGCCAGGGTGAAGGTCGAGGCCAGGGTGATGGTCGAGGCTAGGGTAAAGGTCGAGGCTAGGGTGAAGGTCGAGGCCAGGGTGAAGGTCGAGGCCAGGGTAATGGTCGAGGCCAGGGTGATGGTCGAGGCTAGGATAAAGATCGAGGCTAGGGTGAAGGTCGAGGCCAGGGTGAAGGTCGAGGCCAGGGTGAAGGTCGAGGCCAGGGTGATGGTCGAGGCCAGGGTGATGGTCGAGGCCAGGGTGAAGGTCGAGGCCAGGGTGAAGGTCGAGGCCAGGGTGATGGTCGAGGCCAGGGTGATGGTCGAGGGCAGGGTAAGGTCAAGGCCAGGGTGAAGGTCGAGGCTAGGGTGAAGGTCGAGGCCAGGGTGAAGGTCGAGGCCAGGGTGAAGGTCGAGGCTAGGGTGATGGTCGAGGCTAGGGTGATGGTCGAGGCCAGGGTGATGGTCGAGGGCAGGGTGAAGGTCGAGGCTAGGGTGAAGGTCGAGGCCAGGATGATGGTCGAGGGCAGGGTGATGGTCGAGGCCAGGGTGAAGGTCGAGGGCAGGGTGATGGTCGAGGCCAGGGTGAAGGTCGAGGCCAGGGTGAAGGTCGAGGCCAGGGTGAAGGTCGAGGCCAGGGTGAAGGTCTAGGCCAGGGTGAAGGTCGAGGCTAGGGTGAAGGTCGAGGCCAGGGTGATGGTCGAGGGCAGGGTGAAGGTCAAGGCCAGGGTGAAGGTCGAGGCTAGGGTGAAGGTCGAGGCCAGGGTGATGGTCGAGGCCAGGGTGAAGGTCGAGGCCAGGGTGAAGGTCGAGGCTAGGGTAAAGGTCGAGGGCAGGGTGAAGGTCGAGGCCAGGGTGATGGTCGAGGCCAGGGTGATGGTCCAGGACAGGGTGAAGGTCGAGGCTAGGGTGAAGGTCGAGGCTAGGGTGAAGGTCGAGGCCAGGGTGAAGGTCGAGGCCAGGGTAATGGTCGAGGCCAGGGTAATGGTCGAGGCCAGGGTGATGGTCGAGGCTAGGATAAAGATCGAGGCTAGGGTGAAGGTCGAGGCCAGGGTGAAGGTCGAGGCCAGGGTGAAGGTCGAGGCCAGGGTGAAGGTCGAGGCCAGGGTGATGGTCAAGGCTAGGGTGAAGGTCGAGGCCAGGGTGAAGGTCGAGGCCAGGGTGAAGGTCGAGGCCAGGGTGATGGTCGAGGCCAGGGTGATGGTCGAGGCCAGGGTGAAGGTCGAGGCCAGGGTGATGGTCGAGGCTAGGGTGAAGGTCGAGGCTAGGGTGATGGTCGAGGCCAGGGTGATGGTCGAGGCCAGGGTGAAGGTCGAGGCTAGGGTGAAGGTCGAGGCCAGGGTGATGGTCGAGGCCAGGGTGAAGGTCGAGGCCAGGGTGATGGTCGAGGCTAGGGTGAAGGTCGAGGCTAGGGTGAAGGTCGAGGCCAGGGTGAAGGTCGAGGCCAGGGTAATGGTCGAGGCCAGGGTGATGGTCGAGGCTAGGATAAAGATCGAGGCTAGGGTGAAGGTCGAGGCCAGGGTGAAGGTCGAGGCCAGGGTGAAAGTCGAGGCCAGGGTGATGGTCGAGGCCAGGGTGATGGTCGAGGCCAGGGTGAAGGTCGAGGCCAGGGTGATGGTCGAGGCCAGGGTGAAGGTCGAGGCCAGGGTAATGGTCGAGGCCAGGGTGATGGTCGAGGCCAGGGTGAAGGTCGAGGCCATCCGACCTTCACCCTCGACTTGTTCTGGAAATGTTCGGACATCATCAGTTGTGAGTCGTGTCATAAACAGCTGGGGTTTGGTGGGTGGATGGAATGGTCTTTGGGTCTTTGTTTAAGAAGACGGGTTGCCAGCCCGTCCTCCAAACAAAGACCCAAAAGTGACGCCATGCACCCGCCAAACCCCAGCTGTTTATGAGTGAAAAACGGTTTACACATGACTCACAACTGATGACGTTCGAACACTTCCGGAACAAGTGCTTCACTGACGACTGTTCGAACCACAACGCTGTAAATGCTTCACCCACGTACTACAAATACAAATAATCGCCAACAAAACCTAAACACCTTACCTATGCCTATATATGCACAATATGCTAACATATTATAATATTAATTTATATATGAGAAAATTCCCGTTTTGAATGAACAGCATGTTAAAATTTATGAATGCGTCTGTGGGGTCGACCGCTGGATGTAATGGACTTGAGTCGAGGACGCGTTGAGTCGGCTAACCTAATATCACGATGCTCACCTAATAAATATCACGGTGCTTGCGTAACTGCTTCGTGAATGTAGCCCCTGATTCCTAAACTATGTATTTCTTAGTTGGCTCCGCCTCTCGTTGACTTGTGTTTTATGATTAATTGGTAGATATCGTGCTAGTTACCGTGCCCAGCCAAGGTGAACTACTGGTGGTGGCGGGGCTGGGATAAAGGTGAGTGCCAGGTGGAAAAAGTTCTAAGTGAAGGCAAACTTGGGGAAAACAGTCGATGTTACATTATACTTCATATTGACACGAGAGGTGGCGGCCTGGCTCACGTCTGACGTCACTGGCGTTCACTTACACCGTGTTCTCTCTCAAGCTTCGAGCCCCGGAGCTTCGAGAGAGAACAGCTCTGCTTCGTCTCACCAGCTTCGAGACCCGGAGCTTCGAGAGAGAACAGCTCTGCTTCGTCTCACCAGCTTCGAGACCCGGAGCTTCGAGAGAGAACAGCTCTGCTTCGTCTCACCAGCTTCGAGACCCGGAGCTTCGAGAGAGAACAGCTCTGCTTCGTCTCACCAGCTTCGAGCCATGTGGGTTGGCCTGTGTTGATGAGGTCGAACTTCATCAGTTCATTAACCAGTCGCCAAACACCCTGTTTATGAGTAAGAACCGTCTACACACGACTCATAATACAGCCCGTCCTCTACTCAAGTTCATTCCATCCAGCGGTCAACCCCACAGACGCATTCATTAATTTTAACATGCTGTTCATTCAAAACAGGAATTTTCTCAAATATAAATTGATATTATGATATAGTAGCATATTGTGCATATATAGGAATAGGTTAGGTGTTTAGGTTCTGTTGGCGATTATTTGTATTTGTAGTACGTGGGTGAAGCATTTACAGCGTTGTGTTCGAACAGAATTCGCCAGTGAAGAACTTGTTCCGGAAGTGTTCGAACGAAATCAGTTGTGAGTCGTCAGCCCGTCCTCCAAACAAAGATCCAAAAGTGATTCCATGCACCCGCCAAACCCACTGTTTATGAATGAAAAGCGGTTTACACACGACTCACAACTGCTGACGTTCGAACATATCCGGAACAAGTGCTTCACTGACGAATTTTGTTCGAACCACAACGCTGTAAATGCTTCACCCACGTACTACAAATACAAATAATCGCCAACAGAACCTAAACACCTAACCTAACCTATGCCTATTTATACACAATATGCTAATATATTATAATATTAATTTATACTTGAGAAAATTCCCGTTTTGAATGAATAGCATGTTAAAATATATGAATGCGTCTGTGGGGTTGACCGCTGAATGTAATGGACTTGAGTCGAGGACGGGTTGGAGTCGTGTATAAACCGTTTTTCATTCAGAAACAGCTGAGGTTTCGCGGCTGGATTAACGAGCTTGGATCTTTGTGTGCGAGAACGGGTTGATTTATAAGTTTAATAACATTTGACTGGCAGGTTTCGATGCTCTTAAACTGTTTAATAAATATAAACAAAACAGACGACGTTTGATTCCTTTTAGCAGGTTGAGAGCTTTCCCGTACCGTAGCTCATGGTAAACCTTACCTATTAGTTCGTGCAGGACTGTGTGTGGGTGTGTACACCAGCAGGGTAACCACCAAGGTACCCACTTACTGCTGGACGAACACAACCCAACAGTTAAGCGTTAGCGACTAGTCATTGTAGTCAACCCTCCCTGTCCTGGATACGCACACACACAGTCGCTGGCCAGGCTCGGCGCCGGTGTCACCCTCACTACACCTTGGGTGCCGGGGGAGAGATGAAGGTAAGGAAGTGGGTAAATGAATCCTTAAGTGCAGTGTAGGATGTCTCTCTCTCACCACCAAGGTCACGTGACCACCACACACGTTCAGGTTCACCACTACCTTGTCACTACACCACAACCACACCCAACCCACACCCAAGCGACCTCCACTCTCCCCCCTCCGCCCACAACTGCCACCTCCCCCCTCCGCCCACAACTGCCACCTCTCCCCTACGCCCACAACCGCCGCCAATGGACTGCGGTAGTGTCCAGAACAACTCTCACTTTCCAGGCCAATTAAAGGTATAACTAGTTCCCTCCTCCCTGTTGTATCTCGCCCGTCTTTCTCTCATACCCAACCACTTGGGCTGGACGGTAGAGCGACGGTCTCTCTTCATACAGGTCGGCGTTCAATCCCCGACCGTCCAAGTGGTTGGTTGATACCTGGTTGATGGGGTTCTGGGAGTTCTTCTACTCCCCAAGCCCGGCCCGAGGCCAGGCTTGACTTGTGAGAGTTTGGTCCACCAGGCTGTTGCTTGGAGCGGCCCGCAGGCCCACATACCCACCACAGCCCGGTTGGTCCGGCACTCCGTGGAGGAATAAATCTAGTTTCCTCTTGAAAATGTCCACGGTTGTTCCGGCAATATTTCTTATGCTTGCTGGGAGGACGTTGAACAACCGCGGACCTCTGATGTTTATACAGTGTTCTCTGATAGTGCCTATGGCACCTCCTGCTCTTCACTGGTTCTATTCTAATAATAATAATAATAATAATTTTATTTAGGTAAGGTACGTACATACATACAATAAATTTTTACAAAGATTGGTTGACTTATAGGTAGAGCTAGTACATACAATGCCTAAAGCCACTATTACGCAAAGCGTTTCGGGCATGATAAACTTAAATGACAAGCTTAATACTAATTGAGCATAATGAGTAGAATGAAAACATAGATGAAAAAGCAGCACAAATACAATTATGTCAACAAACAGCGCTCTTAAAAAAAAAACAGACATTGGTTGACAATAGAAGGGTATGGTAGGTTACAGGGAATTTATTAGGTATAGCTTCGTTTTTAACTTAAACTGGTTGAGAGAGGTACAGTCTTTAACATGGTTGGGAAGGTCATTCCACATTCTGGGCCCCTTGATTTGTAGAGCATTTCTAGTTTGATTAAGTCGTACTCTAGGAATATCAAAACTGTATTTATTTCTGGTGTGGTGCTCATGGGTTCTGTTACATCCTTCTATGAAGCTTTTGAGATCAGGATTGGCATTATAGTTTAGCGTTTTATATACGTATAATACACATGAGAGAATGTGCAGTGACTTAATGTCTAACATATTCAGAGATTTGAGTAGGGGTACCGAGTGATGCCTGGGGCCAGAGTTGGATATTGTCCTAATAGCAGCTTTGTGTTGAGTAATTAGAGGACGTAAGTGATTTTGGGTAGTAGAGCCCCAAGCACAAATACCATAGTTGAGATATGGATAGATAAGGGAGTAATAGAGAGTCACCAGGGCAGGGCGTGGTACATAATATCTGATCTTAGAAAGAATGCCCACAGTTTTTGAAACTTTTTTTGATATATTTAGAATGTGTCCCTGGAAATTCAGCTTGTGGTCAATGAGAATGCCAAGGAATTTGCCATCTAATTTGTTACAAATTTGGGTATTGTTTATTTTGAGATTTATTTGATTAGAGGATTTATTGCCAAACAGAATATAGAAAGTTTTGTCAATGTTAAGGGTGAGTTTGTTGGCAGTTAGCCAAAGATGGACTTTATTTAGCTCAGTATTTACTGTGGCATTTAGAGCAAGGGGGTCAGGACTGGAGTAAATGAAGGTTGTGTCGTCAGCAAATAGAATTGGTTTGAGGTGTTGGGAGGCATTTGGAAGGTCATTAATGTAGATGAGAAAGAGGAGAGGGCCAAGTATGCTGCCCTGAGGAACACCGATGTTGATGGGTCGGGTGGGAGAAATTGTATTATTCACAGAAACATATTGGAGCCTGTCAGTAAGGTAGGATTTGAGGTATTGTAGGGAGTGTCCTCTGACTCCATAATGATGTAATTTATGAAGAAGGTTTTGGTGGTTGACAGTATCAAAAGCTTTACGCAGGTCCACAAATAACCCAACAGGGAACTCATTTTTATCAAGAGCTGTATGAATCGAGTTAAGCATACTAATAAGTGCATCGTTAGTGCTTTTTTTGGGTCTGAAGCCATATTGGCAAGGGCTAAGTATATTGAGTTTGGCTAGATATGAGTAAAGCTGCTTATAGATTAGTTTTTCAAAAATTTTTGACAAGTTTGGCAGGATTGATATAGGTCTGTAATTGTTAACATCTGTGAGATCACCACATTTGTGGACAGGCGTTACTCTCGCTTTTTTTAGAATATCTGGAAAGGTTTGGAGTTCAAGTGACTTGTTGAAGAGCAAAGCAATAGCAGGGGCTAAAGGTCTGGAGGCTTTTTTGTAAATTAAAGTTGGTATCTCCTCAAGGGCACCAGACTTGGTTTTAAGGGAAAGGATTATCTCATTGACGTCAGCGGAATTAATAGGCTTTAGGTACAGAGACTGTGGATAGTTACCTGTAAGATAGTCCTTAATGTCAGTACTGGAAGATGGAATATCATTTGCAAGGGTTGAACCAATGGAAGAGAAGAACCTATTGAACTCAATAGCAGAATCAGAGGCTGAAAGCTGACCATCGTTATTAGACAG